GTGGTGAGGATGAGTGGTAAGGGTGAGTTGTGAGTGGTGAATGGTGAGGGTGAATGATGAGTACAGTCAATATGCACTGCTGTTATCATACCAGGTACCACCACCACAATATGTACTCCTCTCATCATAGCAGATACCACCACAGCAGTATGCACTGCTGTAATCATAGCAGGTTCCACCACAATATGCACTGCTGTCATCATAACAGGTACCAACACAGCAGTATGCACTGCTGTAGTGATAGCAGGTACGACCTCAGTCGGTATACACTGCTGTAGCGATAGTAGATACTGCTATCGAGTTGGTAGATACCGCTATAGTAAATACTAAAACAGTCAGTATATACCACTACAGTCAGTCAATACTGCTACAGTCAGTATATACTACTATACAGTCAGTACATATTGCTACGGTGAGTAGCTACTAGAGTCAGTAGATACTATTATAGAGTGAGTAGATACTGCTATAGATTTTGTAGTTACTACTATAGTCAGTGGATACAACTATAGAGTCAGCAGATACTATACAGTTAGTCGTTACGAGTATATAGTCGGTAGATACTACTGTAGGCCCAGTAAATACTACTATGGTCAGTAGTTATTACAGTCACTAAATAGTACACAGTCAGTAGCTACACATGGCTCAGTAGATACTACGGTACAGTCAGTAGATACTACTACAGAGTCAATAGATACCACTTCCTCTGTTGTATGTAAGGTGTTGTTAGTATATATACCTACGAGGGGTAAAGATATTTTTTGAGGGGGGGGGGGGGGAGACCGCAATTTTCGGAAACATTTTGACATCAACTATTTACCCCACACTTTCTACAACTTTTTGGACTTGTGAAAGCCTCTTATATATTTGTTGGTGGAGAAATGTACAAACAGCCCACCGGGCTTTGACAATACCTTAGTATCTGTGTATATATATGTAAGGTTTTTAAGAAAGATATGTTTCACCCGGGCAAAGCCAGGTACTTCCGCTAGTAGTAAATAAATGTGTTGCTCCTAAAGACAACGTCTGCGACTCAGTTGGACTCACAACACTTATACAAAAGCTGATTGATATAGTTGGGTTTCAGGCACTGTATCGATGCAAATGACATTTGAACAACAAATGTCTCCAGATAGTGAGGGAAAAAAGTATTTGATCCCCTGCTGATTTTGTACGTTTGCCCACTGACAAAGAAATGATCAGTCTATAATTTTAATGGTAGGTTTATTTGAACAGTGAGAGACAGAATAACAACAACAAAATCCAGAAAAACGTATGTCAAAAATGTTATAAATTGATTTGCATTTTAATGAGGGAAATAAGTATTTGACCCCTCTGCAAAACATGACTTAGTACTTGGTGGCAAAACCCTTGTTGGCAATCACAGAGGTCAAACGTTTCTTGTAGTTGGCCACCAGGTTTGCACACATCTCAGGAGGGATTTTGTCCCACTCCTCTTTGCAAATCTTCTCCAAGTCATTAAGGTTTCGAGGCTGACGGTTGGCAACTCGAACCTTCAGCTCCCTCCACAGATTTTCTATGGGATTAAGGTCTGGAGACTGGCTAGGCCACTCCAGGACCTTAATGTGCTTCTTCTTGAGCCACTCCTTTGTTGCCTTGGCCGTGTGTTTTGGGTCATTGTCATGCTGGAATACCCATCCACGGACCCATTTTCAATGCCCTGGCTGAGGGAAGGAGGTTCTCACCCAAGATTTGTCGGAACATGGCCCCGTCCATCGTCCCTTTGATGCGGTGAAGTTGTCCTGTCCCCTTAGCAGAAAAACACCCCCAAAGCATAATGTTTCCACCTCCATGTTTGACGGTGGGGATGGTGTTCTTGCGGTCATAGGCAGCATTCCTCCTCCTCCAAACACGACGAGTTGAGTTGATGCCAAAGAGCTCCATTTTGATCTCATCTGACCACAACACTTTCACCCAGTTGTCCTCTGAATCATTCAGATGTTCATTGGCAAACTTCAGATGGGCATGTATATGTGCTTTCTTGAGCAGGGGGACCTTGCGGGCGCTGCAGGATTTCAGTCCTTCACGGCGTAGTGTGTTACCAACTGTTTTCTTGGTGACTATGGTCCCAGCTGCCTTGAGATCATTGACAAGATCCTCCCGTGTAGTTCTGGGCTGATTCCTCACCGTTCTCATGATCATTGCAACTCCACGAGGTGAGATCTTGCATGGAGCCCCAGGCCGAGGGATATTGACAGTTCTTTTGTGTTTCTTCCATTTGCGAATAATCGCACCAACTGTTGTCACCTTCTCACCAAGCTGCTTGGCGATGGTCTTGTAGCCCATTCCAGCCTTGTGTAGGTCTACAATCTTGTCCCTGATACCCTTGGAGAGCTCTTTGGTCTTGGCCATGGTGGAGAGTTTGGAATCTGATTGATTGATTGCTTCTGCGAACAGGTGTCTTTATACAGGTAACAAGCTAAGATTAGGAGCACTCCCTTTAAGAGTGTGCTCCTAATCTCAGCTCGTTACCTGTATAAAATACACCTGGGAGCCACAAATTTTTTCTGATTGAGAGGGGGTCAAATACTTATTTCCCTCATTAAAATGCAAATCAATTTATATCATTTTTGACATGCGTTTTTCTGGATTTTGTTGTTGTTATTCTGTCTCTTACCGTTCAAATAATCCTACCATTAAAATTATAGACTGATCATTTCTTTGTCAGTGGGCAAACGTACAAAATCAGCAGGGGATCAAATACTTTTTTCCCTCACTGTACATTGCTGCCACCATTGTTTCGTCAACAAGCTATAGTATACATAACTGCAGGTTATTGTAATTTGAGCAAAAGTAAATAATTGAGCATGGGGCTTGGTAGAATTGGCGACGTGTCACTGACCTATGAGATGCTATAAAACATCACCATAACAGGGTATTTGATGCCTCACTCCACACTACTCCAGCAGTATAGACATCACTTGAATACCTAATTCAAGTGATGTATAATTGCTTTTATACTCTAAAAGGATGCATATTACAAGCAAAAATATTTCCTCAGCCACCATAGAAACCTTCCAAATTTAATCCCTGCTTTTAGTCCTCTCTTAACATCCGCAAACCCTAAAACAGTTGCCGAATATTTACCGAGGGCTTTACGAGTGGCAATGACGTCACTTCAAGGAAAGTTTAAATCATTTGGAATAGTTGTCTCCCTTGTAGGATGGACTCTTACGTCCGTGGCGGTGGTGGTTTATTGCAGACCAAGCAAGCGACCCTGCTCAATACAATGGCTGCATGCCCAGACACGGGGGGCCTGAACCTCCACAGCAGCCAAGTGGGTCTATTCAGTCCAGTAACGATGCCATGGTAATAATGGTCACCGTGCTTGTGTTGTAGTGGTCAGCGCACTGCACAACAAACCCGGTGACCTGGGTTTGACTGTCGGCCATGGCTAAAATAAATAGCAAGTCATATCTGAGCCAGCTATGGGCCATCCAGCTATTGTAGGTCGACCGAGCCTTATACTAGTACCTGATTCAGGGTGTAAACATCAGGACTGGAGACAAATATGATTGGGTGTGGTTCTGGCCACACTCTCCCCCTTTTGTGCCATGCTGACGTGAACAGGTGCTTGTTAACAGCACTTGCTTGCGTCTGTTACAAGTCTTGATGAAATTACCTTCTCTTGTACGGGACCAATAAGTGTGGTGGTGGTTAGCTGTGTGCTTTCTATACCACCGATACAAAATAAGTACAGTAACAAGTAAACCCGTAAAAACAACGTTTTTCACTCTAAATCCTTTATATGCGTGGCAGCTAGAGTTCTCTCGTCCTCTGGCTTGAGATGGCTGCAATCTATGGGTCAGATGATTGTCTGCCAGTATTAAGCAATTGGTAATTAAATATTTAATTTGTTTTCCCTAAACAGTGTAAAATTTTGGAAAAAAAATTTCACGAAAATTTATTGTCACACACAACGAGTCTGTGTGGAAAATGTCAGCTCGATTGGATCACGGGAAGTGGGTTAAAAAACGAGCGAAAGATTTGCACGGTCCTAAGCAAGCAAGCGAACTTAATATAAAGGATTTAAAAATATATTCGCCTGTGGAGGACGCGGGGATCGATCCCGCGACCTTTGGCATGGGAAGCGAGGGCGCTACCAACTGCGCTACTCCACCACGGCCTGTGGAGGGGTTACGCTCTGGGCTCTTACACTCTGACGTTCAGCCAAAGCCATGAATGCGTTCTATTTGAATATATGTAAAATAATTTTTTTTTGCCTAAAAAGTGTAAAATTTTGGGAATTTTTTTTCACGAACAATAATTGTCTGGCACAACGAGTCTGTGTGGAAAATGTCAGCTCGATTGGATCACGGGAAGTGGGTTAAAAAACGACCGAAAGATTTGCACGGTCCTAAGCAAGCAAGCAAGCACGCAAGCACGTGAACTTAATATAAAGGATTTAAAAATAAGTACAGTATGTGTGGGAGGTGCGTTGACTCAGGTGCTAAGGAAACAAAGGCAAATAGCTGGGTGTGGTTTTGCGTGCTGTAGCAGCCAAGGGAGTGAGTGCCAGCAGTCACACATCATCTCGGGTAAAATTAGGACCTTTTAACACGCTTTTATTTAACTCACTTCGTCTGTTGTATCCTCAAAAAAGAAATCTTGTAACTCAATTTTTACACACTTCCCAATGTGCTATCGACTGCAAACTTCGTATAGGTATGTCATACTGATGACAATACTATATTCTATCATTGAAAATTAAAAATAAATATTTTTAAACAATATTTTTTACGGCTTTAATTGTCGACACTCAACTCACGTTGGCTGTAAATCACCACGTGGTCCCTTACGTCTCGGGGAGCCACGCCGAGGGGTCGGGGATGTGGAAGGAGGGGAGGGGCGATGGGGGAAGGGGGCAGGGGCAGCTCGGACAGTACATTTCATTAAAGCGTGTTTTAAAAAAAAGTAGTTTTAAATATTTTACTTATTTAATAATGTAGTTGTGATGCTTGCTCACACACATGAACACGTACCTCAAACATGTGTGCCATAATCGGGGCGTCTGCCCAAGAATGTTCGGCGTTAATACCCATCTTGCCATTTTTGAAAATCACCAGGGTGAAAGATTTATCAAACCACCTGCAACACAGCACCCAACAAACATGCGTGCAAAGTGAACTACATCTTACCAAGCGTTTACAAAACAGGCTTAACCACTTTTTACTATGCTGCCTCACACAAAAAGCATCTAATTAAATAATTAATACAGCTGTAGTGAGTCCAACCGAGTCGCAGACGTTGTCTTTAGGAGCAACACATTTACCGTATATATATACCGCAGACGCATATACCCCGCAAAAATAGCGTTTTGTGTAAAACAAATTTCAGGTAGCCAGCACCTCCATATACCCCGCATGCATTCATATCTTTAACGTCGTTACCGCAGTTTAATTCCATCATATTAATACAAAGTTTACATTTGTAATACATTCCACTATCAATTGTTAACATAAAAATCATAACGTGAACAAAGAAAACAAACTAACCGGAAACGAGTGAACTTAAAACAGTCAATAAGTAACAAAAGTAAATATCCAATAAATAAGTAACACATAACTGGTAGATAAGTAAGCGTACTGTTAGGCTTACCAGCATTCGACCTCATCATATTACAGCTACTGGACCGGTAGTTACCCCTGTATAGTTTAAGCATTGGTAGATTGCGCACTGCGCAGACAATAGTGGCACTACGGTAACGCCATTGCCTCCTGGCAACAAAGCCATTGGAAGTTTGAAACAAAGCTCATGGTCGCGACTGTATAGTGCTCAGCCAATAGCAGCGGCCTAAGGGACTCGGCAATTATGATTCCGCGGCTGGTAGATGCTTGTTGAGGCCCTTTCCATTGTGCAATCCATAGCCTCAGCTGAAACTTTCGCACCCCCCTACAGCCACTGAAAGTATTACGGTAAACAAAGTGCGCCCACTTCAAACATTGTCGTTTCATTGTACAAACAATTTGAATCATTTAAAACGTGATAACATGTGCAATTTTAGTGTGAGTGGTTTATTCAGCAGTGCTTTAGTCAAAGGTAAGTGTTGCATAGTGGATAGTCCTACCATGAAAATTTTTTACGAGTTATGACATGTCACATGTGTAAAATATTTTTGGGATAGCCCGCACCCCGCAGGATCTTGTTTTGTTTGTAAAAAGTGGTATACCCCGCGGGTTATATGCGGGAAAATACGGTATTTACTATTAACACTGCATACACCTAGGGTGGTGACCACCCGACTAACCACGCTATGGTGTTAACACACTCTGTTACGTGATCCAGGTTCAGTCCACAAGCTGGGTCCTGGACCGCGTGGCTGGAGGCTACTTCAGCTTGACGTGGAACTCCTTGCCTCTCCAACACGAAGAACCCCGGGCCCCTCTCAGGGACCCCCCTATATTTGTCTGGGCTGGGGCCAGCTCCGCCTCTCGCCCCACCCACCTTCTCGATCTTTCTCGCCCTTACCCGAAGGCTCTCGAAAGCTCTTCCCAGACCATGCGACCACCCTTTGGCCCCTCCACCTGTGGCCCCCCTCAGGTAACGACCCCGTCACGTGGCCACAGGTCAACCAGAGTAGCATCAACCAATGTTACCCTGACTGAGCTGACGCTCTCTCGCTCCCTCCAGTAGGAGCCCACACTGCGCCCAGCGCGTGGTGCCCTCGCACTAACAAGCGCTCTCCAAAATCCCCCCTAGGGTTGGTACTGCACCCCGTGTCCGGGGTGTACGCGATGATGGTGCATCTTCCGCTGTGGCCTCGCAGGCCCGGCACCACACAGTGACCTTCCCGGTCAGTACACAGCTAATGCAAATTTTCCTAAAGTTGCACGAAATAAGCCAGCTTTAAAGCAAACAATTTGTACATTTTCTTTCTCAGTTGAATGGAAATGAAATACAAAATTTAGTACAGTTGTAAAAAAAACACAACAGACATCTGCTAATGTGGAGCAGGGTGATCTGCATGCGGATGGCTTCAGGTTACCATTATGACATTTGTAAGGGAAACTGCAGGTGATTTGTGCCACTCAACCATCAGCTTATGCAACATCAGTGCCGACTTCTGGAGACGATGGTCGACATGTGCAAAAATAATCAATTACCTCTAATGGACAGAGGAAATGTAAGGAATGAGCAACCCAAAACCGAACAGCTGTTATCCTGTAGATACACTTTGGCTGTGCATCCCAGGATGTCTGGCAAGAGTTAAGCTTCATTAGTGAGTGAAAAATATTACTTACGGGTCGACTCAGAAGCGTTTTAGTGACATCACTCCCAGACTTTTTAATACAAAATAAGTATAACCCGTAAAAACAAAGTTTTTCACTATAAATCCTTTATATGCGTGGCGGCTAGAGTCCTCTCGTCCTCTGGCTTGAGATGGCTGCCACCTATGGGTCAGATGATTGTCTGCCAGTATTAAGCAATTGGTAATTAAATATTTAATTTGTTTTCCCTAAACAGTGTAAAATTTTGGAAAAAAAATTTCACGAACATTAATTGTCTCGCACAACGAGTCTGTGTGCAAAATGTCAGCTCGATTGGATCACGGGAAGTGGGTTAAAAAACGACCGAAAGATTTGCACGGTCGTAAGCAAGCAAGCAAGCACGCAAGCACGCAAGCAAGCAAGCAAGCAAACTTAATATAAAGGATTTAAAAACTAGTGACTTCACTAGCACATTCCATTAATGGTCTTGAAAGCCTATGTCCCATCTCTGTCCCCCTACTTAGAAATATTCTCACCTCCGCTGGCCAACCCAAAACACAGCCAAGGTACGTACTTACAAGATGAGACCTGTGCATTTGTTGGGTTGCATCTTCCTTTTTAAGTCAAGCGAAAGTAAATACAGCAGCCTCATCGTTAGCTGGTCACAACAGGAATTGTATAGCAGATATCGTCTACAGATGTGGGTGTTGTAATATTATAAGCAATGTAGTGTTTGCGTACGGATTCACAATCTATTTTCCAGTACAATAAACACTATTTTCTGGCACAAACACTGTTTGACTTGTTTGTTTTGGATACATGCATTTTATTTACATTTTATTTTAAGAAGCAAAATGACACGCTTTGAATGCCAATTTTGGCTCAGTAGCTATATTCTGAAACACAAACATAAAAGGTCCAAACTATAAATTCTTGCAATGATAGAACTACATTACACACCCCACACATTTTAATAATAAAGCACTCAAACAAAATGAATTCAGTCTAGAGGTGCACATTTGCTCAACGAGGATATTGATTAAAATTAAAATAAATTGTAAACTGTTGTTTGCATTTAAGGATGCTTTTGTTTGCAAAGCAGCATAATAACAAGACATTTAAATCGGCATTGTATAGCCTCGATGTCCTTGGCCCCTTTCCGGTCACTCCTAGGGGTAATAAATATATTATGTTTGGAGTGGAATATTTTTCTCGATGGCCGATAGCTTGGCCGCTGCCGGACCAGTCGGCGGCCTCCATTGCCGACGCATTTCAGAACGGTTATGTTATGGATATATGTGCTCCTGAACAGCTGCTTACGGACCAGGGTCGGAACTGTTCTTCTAAGTTGTTGCGCGAGGTCTGCGACGCATTGGGTACCAAGAAAATCAAAACGTCGCCGTACCACCCTCAGACAGACGGGATGGTCAAACGTCTGAAAAAGACTTTGTCCACTATGCTCTGTCAGATGGTGGATGCCAAACAAGCTGATTGGGATTGCATGTGCCGAGCGTGCTCGCTGCGTACAAGATGGCCCCACACGCTTCCACGGGATTTTTGCCATTTTTCCTTTGTGTATGGGAGGAAAAATGTGCCCCCTATGGATACCCAATTGGGAGCGCCGATTGGTGACGCAAAATCTAAACTGCCAGAACATGTCCGCGATTCTGTGCGGCGTATTTCTGAGGCCCGGGAAGCGGCTAGAGTCAACACCGCCAAGACACAGGCGCGCAATGAACGTTATGCACGCAGGTCTGACCGTGACATGCCATGGTCCGTTGGCGACAGGGCTTGGCTACATTGCCCTCAGGTGTCCGTTGGCACCTCTCCTAAATTACATAAGCCCTGGCACGGACCTGTGGAAGTGGTCAAAATCAAACGTCCGCAGTGTGTGCGTATCCGGGCGGGCTGTCGTCGTTGGTTCGTCCACCCCTCTCGATTGAAATCGTTTATTCCCCCACTTGTTGCTTCATCTCCAAAAATTGGACTGCAGGGGTCTGACATGTCCGACGGACCGGGGGCAGTGCGGTTACAGGGTGATCCCCCGAAAGAATCTGTTTTGCCGCCCACAGCATGCGAGCCCCTGACTGCCGATGCGGACTCTGACCTCGCCCGGACCAGCCCTACCGCGGTGGAGCCTTCCGCTCCCCCGTCGCCTGTACTGTCACCCCGACCGGGGAGGAGCGGGATGCAGCTCGGTTTCGTTAAAATCGCCCATGTGTTGTTTTTCTCTCCTTGCGTTACTGGATTCGTCCCTTAATCTTTTATTCCCTTTTTATGGATTCTTGTTATTATTGGGTTCTCGTCCTACTTGGGTGTAACCCCTACGAATGCTCGTGTTCGCGTCTCTTCATTACTTATATTGGTTTTATCTCTAGCCGTGACAGCTAGTCTTTTTATTACCGGGGGGGGGGGTAATGTAATGAGAGCGCGCCATCTAGTGGGTGCCAGTGGGTAACTGTATGGGCACTATTGGGTAATCGGCATCCAATCCTAAGCGGGGATAATATCTGGGCCAAAGGTGACGGGCGGAGTCTGAGAAGATGTTCGGGAATCTTTTACAAGGAATCATGTCTGGTGTTTTAACATCTTAACACCTGTTTTGTTTCCAGAAAAAAGGGGAAAAACCAATTATCATATTTTGGTACTGGCAACAGAGGTCCCATGATGTAGATACTCACGCCGAGCTCTCATTACTCTGATAGTGCATTGTCTTTGTGCTGTACGCCTTTTGGGGTCCTCTGGTCTAACACATTCTGACCACAAGCATTGTGGTTAATACAGACATAATTCCTTGTAAAAGGTTACAGTTTGGTGTTTTAACATCTTAACACCTAAATTTTGATTTAAAGCTTTCGTGACCGAAAGAACCAAGAATAT